AAAACTGCGTGACTGTCATCTCCAGGTGGCCGTGCACGCAGGACGCCCGCGTTTCTTCGCCAACCTGCTGTGCGGCGAAGCGCCGCAGCGCGGGGGGTCTCCAGAGGGACCCGGTTGTTGTTTTCGTGCAGCCCGTCCAGTAGATGGACTGAAGCCACGGCGCACGGCTGTGCCAGCCCGCGGCGGTCACCTTGCTGGACACCACGCTCGTGCACGTGCGGCCTGGCGCTAAGGACCTGGCCATGTGACCTGTCACGTTCTGCGCGGCCCACCCTTGGGTCCAAAGGACGCGAGAGCGCCCACGCGCTCCGCGGCGGACCTCCTGCTAAAGCATGCAGGCACGGTAAGAACTCCTGCCATAAGAAAGCTAGGACGCACCTGCCGTCGATATCAGAGCTTCCTCAGATGCTACTGAGCTCATGAGGGTCCCTGGAAAATTCGGGGTATCAGAAATCGCCGTGGGGAATCTGCTGGCACACAAGCTTCTTGTTGGGTGTGCCCAGTGCACCCGCACCTCGCCCTCCCTCAACCCCCAACCCACCCACACACATCAAATCAGCATCGTCATATCTACCCCCGTCTCCTATGGGAAAGCCATAGCCCCGCGCGCCGACCTACCCCCTCCAGTGGGGATATCTACTGACTCCTTTCGTGCTTCGTAGCATCTATCCCCGCACTGGTAGGTAGGCTGGTGGCGCCAAGGCGCCCTGGAGAAATGACGATGCTTACTCCAGGTTGTTCAATCAGCGGCGTGTGGGGGTAGGGATCGCGTGGGGAGTGCAGGAATGGGCTGTCCTTCGCGGTGCGTGGTGGAGGGGGGTGAATCGCTTGAGAGACTGGGTTCGGTGGGCGTAGGGGGCCAGCACGGGCAGCCGGTTGGGGTGGCATTGAAGGGGGGCTTGGTCAGCGCCCTGGAGTACTTCAAACGACAACAGCTACGGTCGTCTCCCAGTCGGCGATTCCTCCGCGGAAACAGCAGCAGCGACGCCGCCGTCAGCAGGGGTGCTCGACGTTTCGGGCGCGCGCGTACGCGTGCCCACGGCAGTCGAACAGGAAACAGGCGAGGATGGACAGCGAAGCAAAGAGTGACCTGCCTCCGAAGAGGCAGGTCCAAGAAAAGAGCACCGATGCAAAAGAGGGACGCACGCGCCTCGCGCAATCCACACACCCCAACCAGGGCCCCATGCGTGGGATGAGGAGGGAAGAAGACGGGGAGGAGGACGAGGAGGAGGACCAACGTAAACCCAAAAAGTATCAACGATGTCGCGATAAACCTCACATTCCCTCCCCATATGTCCATACAAATGTTCAACTACACTGTGGGAAATGCCCCGTTGGACGACAACCGTCTGGAAATCTTAGACCGTGCCAGAACACCGCCGCGAATCAACGTTACAGTTGCGCCCTGACGACCCTGAATTGTACCAGAACAGCACTCCTGGGACTTCAACACCGCGAATCAACGTGACTGTTGCGCCCTGAGAATCCTACGTCGTGCCACAACAGCATTCTGGGACGTCAGCCATCAGAGTCCTTGAACCTGTTGTCAAATCGTAAGGCGACTGTGCGCGGCGCTAAAAGGAGAACCACACATTGAAAAGGTAACACCCTCTATCCGCGAAGCCCGGGCAAGCTCTTAAGAGCGGCGCTAAGCCCTCCATCTGTGAAGCCCTTGCAAACTAGTAATGAGAATGTGCGCGGCGCTAAGGCGAGAACCACATATGGGAAACGGCCCGCCCTCCATCTGTGAAACGGTTGTACATCTCAAGCTTCAGGAACATAAGTGGTGAGGAAGTCTCAGGCGAAACGCCTGGCCCGCCATACTGATACGTCTCGGGGTGCGACAGGGAGGAGGCATTGATGAGGCAAGAGGGTGAAGGAAGAAGGTGCAGGACATGCGGTCGACGCGAGCCTTGGCACTGGAGCAGCTCGCGCACTAATTGGCACCGGAGCACGAAGCACGAGTTCCTGGCTGGGGTGTCGCCCCCCGCGACGTTTGCTTGACCAGCCTTTCAGGTCGCAGAAACTCAAAGAGCGCCCCGAACGCACAAAGCACACAGTAAAGCCCGTATGCATGGGAAAGCTTCGAATAGGGAGGCATACGACCGCGTGGCGAATTATTTAGCGAAGGTAAGTCAAGGACCGCATCTCAAGTGGGAGTCTTAAGTCAAGACACCTCTCGCGAGTTCCCTTACCGCCTCTACCTCCAGAACAGGACGCGTTCTTTCCTATGTGCCTTCCCACACACACACACCGAGCCAAGGTACGGCACGATGAATGCAACGAACTCCCCCTCCACTTCTACTCGCGCTCCTGCTTCTCTGCGGCCCACTTTCCTGAAATCACTGGCAGGCGGGGGGAACGGGGGGTAGTACGCTTCGCAAGCCCCCGCGCCGCTCCACATACAAATCATACCCCGCACCATCCTCACATCCTCTTCTCGCCTCCTCCTATTCCCCCTTCTCGCTGCACACACAGAGCCAACCGCTATCGATGCCGCCTCTTTGGCGTACATAGCCTTCCAGCACCGCACCTCCCGGAGGAGCTCGTCCCTCTCGCGGCTCTCTCGGTTCGCCTCGCTGGCCTCTGCCAACAACAGGGAGAGCGCAGGTGGACGAGCAAGTGAAAGATAAGGAGGGCACGGGGCGGGGACAGAGGGAGGCGGACTGGGAGGAGGAGGAAAAGGAGAGGGAAGGGGCAAAGCCAGATGCGTTCGTACCACATCTGACCCCATACCCCTCCCTCGCAGTTCTTCCGTTGCGCTGAATCTTTTCTATCCGCCGACAGGGGCGCCCTAGACAGCCTTGACCCCTATATGGCACTTGTGAGAATTGATCCATCGTTTTCTGTGCAATCGGGAAAGGAACGCTTGTACACCCGAAGGAAAGACGATTAGGACGACGAGGCGGATTGAAGCGGACGCACAGGGATGGAGGTGGAGGCGGAGGAGGAGGAGAAACTGGAGGAGCAGAAGGAGCAGGAGGATCACGATCGGATCAGCGGAAGGCGCAGGAAGAGAAAGGAGGGAGGGGAACGGCAACGGCGAGGCCCAAACTAAATCCAAAAGCGTGGCTCGCACTTGGGCGATAGCATCATGTTGAATAACGGGGGCGTAGCAGTGATCCTAACAGGCGGCCAACACTGCACAGACGACATAATTGAAGGCCGAAGAGGTTCTGCTCGCAAGAACACATAGCTATACATGACACCTTGCGTGTGAAAGCATCATACGCGAGAAAGGCGGCTGTGCCGCTGGGCATTGTCGAAGGAGAGAAGAGTAGGATGCCTGTCAAACGGGGCTCGCTCGCTCGCGCCACGTTTGGCATCCCACCCATATTTTCCCACTGCGCTGACGCATGGTTTCCTAAACCAATTCGACCACCCAAATGACCCCACCGTGGGATGCGCAATCAAGAAGGGGAACATTGTACATTCGAGGAGGAGAAGGAGGAGGAGTAGGAAGAGGAGGAGAAGGGTTTCAGGGTTCCAGGGTGGCGACTGCAATCTCTGACCCGAAAGGGCAGGAAGCCAGAATACAAATATGGGGCCGAGGAAACCCTTGGAATCGCCTCGGCTTGCGAAAAGGGACGGGACGATGAGACCCGTCGCCTATCACCTCTCCGTTGGGCCCACACCCTGCGACAAATACTTGCGCGTGTGATATACGGAGCAACCTGGAAGGAACCTTCAACCACACTCCTTCGCTAGAATACGCACCTGGTCTCGCATCTTACAGCACGAAGGGAGAAACGTGCGAGCTCGCGTGTGGTCAAAAAACGTGTGCGCGTGGGCCGCACGGACACCAGGAGGCGGGCCCCCGCATGGCTGCGTCAAAACTCTATTGCGCGTGTGCATCTTCCTACCGCACATATCATAATGCCATCCCCCCGAACGTTTCATGAGGCAGTGCCATCGAAAACCGAGTCCTCACCATCGACAACCGAGTCCTCACCTGAACCTCGCGGGGGTCTCAGGGGCTGGGATGCGGTTAGAATCTGGCGATTTCACTTCGGAGCAGCTTCAGAGAGTCCTCAAGACCATTTTAAGCGTGGAACTGGCAGACAAGCCCTGCACTGGCCGAAGTGACTCAGCGAATGGGTTCTCGAGGTGCATGTTGGCTCCGAGACTGGCAAAGTAGTCGCCTCGCTCGTTCCCTTCCAACCAGGCAAGTGTCACCCTAGCAGTCAACCTCCAGCAATCACTCTCGTGGCTCGGCATCCACACAATGTTTCTGCGATTGACTCCGATCTCATCAACTAGCCTCGAGAGTACCGCTCTTCCAGGCCCTGGACAGCTCGAGGAAGCCAGTGATGAAAATGATGCGGTCACGCTTTTTGAACTTGAAAGCAACCATGGCCGTCCACAACTCACCAGACCCAGAGCAAGCCCAGGGCAACCGAACTGGCCCTTCTATCACATCAAGCAGGGGCCCGAGACACCATGACTGCTGTGAGCTCTTCGCTGAGCTCCCTACAGCAACGCAACGCGGGATTGGATGAATGATGGTAGGGAAAGCGGGCGAGCCAATGCGCCAGGCCGGGGGAAGGACATGCGATCGTTCTCAATAGTTCTAGGTGGTGAGCTGGAATTGTGACTCCGACGCGCACTCCCTATTGCGGAGGGAGGAGCAAGGCTTTGGGAGCTCCCCGGGCGGCCTAGAGTATGGAATTCGGATAGATTCTCCAGGAGGGGGGTTGGGGAGGAGGAGATGCAGGAAACAGCATGAGGACGCAATGTAGGAGGAGGGGGGAGCGCCCGACGCACGGGCAACTCGCGCCGGGGGGGGCTGAGGAATGCAAACGTTCCAGTGCCGCCCACCTTGGCGAACAGTGGCAGCTCGCTGCGCTCTGCGAGGACGAACTCACTTGGCCTTTTCATTGAAGGCGGACAGGCTGACGTCCCGGCTGTCCTGGCTGTCCATGATATTCTCAACGAAGCTGGACTCGAAGTCCTCGATGCCCATGCGCTGCTCGACGGACACTGTTACCACCTTGCTGTCCACTCGGCGCTTCTTATGCTTCTCCAGGCTGGCGCTCCACAGCGCCGTCACCCGCTCCATCTCGCCCTCGTACTCGGCGCGAGCCAGCTCGACCTGGCAGCCGCACTCCTTCTCGACCTTTCAATATCATTGTGCCTGCGCCGCCTGCGCCGCAGCCCTCCGTTCTCGCCGTGCTTGTCGTCCTGGGAGCCGTTGGTGCCATCCGCGTCCCCGAGAAGGTGCGAGCCGCCCTCCTGGTCCACGTTCCGGCCGTCTACGCGCTGGCCCAGGTCCTGGGGGAGCTCGACGGTCTTGTATTCGACGCCCTTGTTGCCGTCGACGCCCTCGGTCGCGCGCACCTCGACGCTGTCGAACCGCTCGTCCACGAGGTTCGCACCGACGGGGTCAAAGCCCTCCTCGGCGTCTTGCGCGCTGTCGTTCTCCAGCTCGCCTGTTTTGTACTCGACGTCTTTATCGCCGTCGACGCCCCCCGTCGCTAACACCTCGACGCCGTCGAACCGCTCCATGGGATTCGCCTCGAAGGGGTTAAAGCCCTCCTTGTCGTAGTGCTCCACCCCGTAGCCCCTGACGCCCTGGGAGCTGTTGGTGCCCTCCGCGTCCGCGAGCAAGTCCACTTCGGCCTCCTTCTGCACCTGGACCGCTTCGTCGACGTGCTCCGACGTCGGCAACTCCATCTCGTTGGTTCCGACCTCGACGCTCGTCTTGGCCTCCATGCCGACCAGCTTCGTGACCGTCACGGCCCCAGGAACGAGCCCCCGATCATCACCAACCTCGTCATGAAGGCCATGCTCGTGACGAACAGCTTCATCAGGCAGGCCGTTGCCTCCTCGTGGTGCAGGTTCAGCCCAATCGTCATCACGATCACCCTCCTAACACCCAACATCACTGTCGCCCCCAATAGTCGCAAGGTTGGGCACGCTGGGAGTCCACGATGACAACGGTGAAGTTGCGCTTGCCCCCAAAAGCAGCCAAGAAGTTCGCGAGGCGCAGGCCGCACGACTCTGTGAGGAGCGTGGATGGCAGCCAGAACTGCACAGACATGTGCGCCGCGTGCGCAGCCTCTTGCCGTAGCACCGTTAAGCCGCCATTGCGGGAAGCCGCCAAGGCGCCCGGCCCGTCCGCGCGCTGCCCGCTCGGGCGCTGGCGCTAGCCACCTCGAGACCGAGACGGCGATTTGAGCCAAAATGCATACGGAGTGGAGGAGGAGAGACGAGATGTTCTAGAGCGTGGGATGTTCTCGAAACATCCTGCAATGTTCCATACCTGTACGGGTGTTGTTAGGGATGGGGGGACGAGAAGAGGCAGGAGGAGAATGATGATGAGGAGCAAGGGACAAGTTGTCAATGCATTCCACTGGGTTTTGCTGAGTCCTCCAAGCCCTCCTCCCCCCTCCTCTTTCCATCCTGCTCTTCCTCCCTGTCCTCCTGCTCCTCAACGTGTCCTTCCCATTCCTCCTCCTCCTGCGCCTCCTCCTCCTCCTCTTTCTCCTCCTCCTCCTCCTCCCCCTCCTCCTCGTCCTCCCCCTCCCTCTCCTCCTCGTCATTATCACCATCATCATCAGCAGCATCATCATTATTATCCTCCTCCTCATCATACTTATGCTGGTCCTCCTCCTCCTCCTCCTCATCCTCCTCTTTCTCTCCCTACTGCTCCTCCTCCACCTACCCCTCGCTCATACCCATCCTACCCCCTTGTCATCTTCCTCCATTTCCGCCTCGTCCCAAATTTATCCCAAACGGGAACGGAAGACTAGAGAAAGAAACGGGCATGCGTAAGAAATACATACGCAAGAGAGGGCATGAACAAATGCATCGCACTTCGCGAACAATAGCCGAGACGAATTGAATCCCGTCAACCCTGGAGTCCGACACGGCTAGACGGAAACTTGAGGAAGTCAAGCAAAGCTAACAAGTCTAACCGAAACCACATACAAGTGCGACAAACATATCAAAAGGAAAGGCTGATTGCCTGGCCAGTATCCGTTGAGCAAGTCTCAGAGCTCCCCCACGTCATCAAGTCGAGCCCGGAGAACCATCCAGCGGAATTGCTGTCCTGCAAATGGAGGTCGATTCCCCTACTTCTGGAATGCATGTGTCTCTCCGTCGCATGTCGTGATCCGGTCCACCCTTTTCCGATGTGCCCTCCATCTCTTCTCTCCCAAGCGCGCTTGCCAACCACACACAGATGTCTGTATAGAGCCTTATAGCTTCTTCATCGCAGTCATCATCATCTGCATCCTCATCCTATCCTCATCCTGATCATCGTCATCATCATATCAAATCAAGTATCCTCCTTCTCCTCCGACTCCACCATCCGAGCTCTCTTCCTCGCAATCCTCCAGTCCTGCCCTACACGCATTGTCCCCACATAGGATGTCCAGGAAAAACTACACAAACCGCCATCCTCAGGAGCCCACTGTTTCTTGAAATGCCATACGCAATCGGCATTCCTATAAATACACATCCCCGCACAACGCTTTACGATGCCGTCGCTCGAAACGTATGTGTGCATCGTCTGACCTGTTGCTCCTTGTGGTGCCCCGACGGTGTAGCTATCGTAGCAGGGATTCTGGCAATCGCACCAAACAACCGGCGGAGTCCATTAACCAACCTCTGCAATTGCGTGCGACTCACGCACTGCCACAGCTGTCAGATTTCCCAAGTTCACCCGAAAAGGTGTTGCCATTCCGATTGTCATGGCATCACTAACTCCTCACATGGGGGCATCGTCAAACAATTCCTGACAAACTACAAACAATACCGTGTTTGAGCTGGGGCTAGTACGGCACGCGCAAAACACGATGGCAAAGGCAGACGATCCCTCAACAACGGACGCGGGGCAGCATTCCGCGATGTGCACACAGGCGTGCCAGTGCAACTATGTTTTTCTAGAACGTGCCGCAGGCTCCGGGCATGCCAGAGATGGGATCGATGCTCGACGTTGCTGGCCAACGCCGTATACGTATATACACGCAGTCGTACTCATGGAAGGGCCGTAGCGCCCACATAATAGGTTCGTCCAAAACTGTCCTACCACCGCACGCGCTAGAAGCGGTCATATATACTCCGGTCGCCAAACAGAATATCAGGCCTGGTTTGTTTCACATTAGCGTCGCGTCGGCCAGCGCTCAGGAAGTTCCGGCCCTTGCCTGGTAGTAAAGTTGATGGCCGCGAGGCAAAGTTCGCCGGGAAGCCAGGAAACAATTCAAGACTATTCGAAAATAAAAACGCCGATTCTGATCTCCCCGCCGCCTCGCACTCGCGGCGCCTGTTCCCTGCGGCCCTCGACGCGCGCCATGAAGGCCCACGGTAGCTGGCCGACTTGGCGACAAACTCGCGTTCGGCGTCGCTGCCCTTTTCTGCGGGCAGCCAGCACGGGCGCCAGGCAATCGCCAAATCGACGTCGGGGGGCCCCCACGGAACGGGTAACACCAGGGCGAGGCGGCGGACACGTCAGAATCGTCGCCGTTGATTTTTCCCGATGTTCCCAATAATTCCAGACAAACGTCTTTGTGGTTCTTGGACCAGAACTATCTATGTCAGATTTTCGAATCAACGCCCACCCCCACCTCGTCCTCGCCCCCATCTTCCCCGCCCCGGGCCTTGCTCAAAACCAAAATACAGCCTGGCCCTCTACCTCGCATCTCTCGCATCTGTCATTTTCCCGTCGCGTTGCCCTGCTTCCCGCGCAACGTGGCACAGCATGGGCGCCGCTTAGGCTCCCCGAAGGATTCCGCAAGGATTCCTGTTGAACCCCACAGGAATCCTGAGGCCCCCAGGGGAGCCCCAAGGATGCGTGAGGATTCCAAATAAGATTAACGTGGACTCCTAAAGAAGATTGATTTCGGAATCCTGGGGATTCCTGACATGGATATTCCTGAATCTCCCTCCGGATTCGCACGAATTTCTGACGATTCTAAATGGATCCCCGAAGAATCCAAGATGTTCCGGAAGGATTCCTGAGGGTTCCAGAGGGATCCCTGAATGATCCGTGACGGATTCCCCCAAAACAAACTTCGGATTCTGGAGGATTCCGAATCAATGGCTCCTAGGGTTTCCTATATATTCTTCTAGACACCTGGAGGGTCCTGGAGGATTCCTGGGAATTCCTAACGGATACCTGAGGTGCCCTGCAGGCTTCCTGAGGATTCCTGGAGATTCCAACGGGCTCCGAAGGAACCCCGAAGACTCCCGAAATAAGGCCACAGGTCTTCCTGAAGGATTTCTGCAACAAGTGTAGGGAGTCCGGTGATTCCTGAGGGCCCCGAAAGGTTCCAAATGGATGTTCATGGATTCCTGGAGGATTCCAAAGGATTCCTCCGCGATCTCGCCGATTCCTGAAACAAATCCGACTCCTAGAAGCAATCCCGACGGGTCCTGCATGATCCCTGACGGACCCCAAGAGGATTTCAAAGGATTTCTGAGGCGCCCCGAAGATCCCTAAGGCTTCCTCAAGCGATTCACCCGAGTCTCCAGTCATTCATGAAGATTCCAAAAGCCATCTGAAGATTCCTGAAGATCACGCAAGGCTTTCTGGAGATTCCTGAAGTCTCATCGGAATTTCATAAGTTTCCTGAGTGATTCCTTCCTTCGGTTTCCGAAGGTCTCCTCCAGACTCTTCGGGATTCCCACGGATGCCGCGAGGCTTCCTGTGGCTCCCTGGTGGATCCGGGAGGCCGCCTGAAACGATCACAAAGGATTCCGACTGCATCCCTGGAACATTCCTTGATATTCCAAGTTGAATCCCGCGGTTTCCTCAAGATGCCTGAAGATGTCGAAGAAGTTGTCTGGCGATCCTCCCACGTGGATTCCTGTGGCCCACCGAGGGTCCCCGATGGCTTCTGAGCCATGTTTCAAACATCCCTACGGTTCCTGAGGGCGCCTCACGATTTCTAACGATTCGGGGCGTTTCCCGATAGTTCCCCAGGACTGCCCACGCGGACCCCTGGGGGATATCCGAAAAGATTCTGGGGTTCCCGCGAGATTCTTCGGCTTCCGCACGATCCCCATGGATTCCTAAAGACTCCTGATCCTGGAGATCCCAGGAAAGATCCTAGAGGATCCCAGAGGACGCCGGAGAATTCTCGAACTCCCGAAGAGTCCGCCGGCCCCCCAAAGATTCCTGGAAAGGTTCCCGGGGATTCCTCCGCATTCCTAAGGATAAGGCCCCTCGGACCCCCTCGGACTCCTGAAAGGGTCTTCAAACCCGCGCGCGCTGCTGGGCCCATGCCCCAGACCGGCGCCCGAAAACCTCGGCAACGCCGAGCCGAGCGCCCAAAACCACGGGGCCCTGGCCCCGACGACCGAAACCCGGCCGGTGACCATGAGCTCTGACTCCCAGAGAACCAATCGACGGCGCAGGGGCCGCAGGCAAAGCCCCTGGCCCTCGGCCCCCAGCCTTGGGCCCTCAGCCCCAGAACCTCGGCCGCCGGGCCAGGCCAGGCCCCGCGGCCCCGGGGGCCCCGGCCCGACCCGGAGGCCTGGCGCCTTAGACGCCATGCCCGGAGCCCGAAGCCCTCGGCCTCGCCATTTGGCCGAACAGCTTCAAACGCCGGGCCCTCTGCCCCGCTCGCCGAGCCCCCGGCCCGCATCTGAAATGGCGAGCCTCGGAGCCGCCGCCGCCGAAGGCCCCTGGCAAGCGGCCCGAAGCCTCGGGGCTCGGAGCCCGAGGGCGCGGGCAACTGAACCCATGGCCCGCGGCCCAGGGGGGCCCGGGGTCTTGGCGCAGAAAATCCTAAAAAGCTTAACCGACGGACGGCGCTGCACCTCTGGCCCGAGCCCTAGCCCCAGCGCCCTGGCCCAGCTCCCAGCCTGGACCCCTGGCCCTGGCCCCCGCCACAGGGCCCAAGCGCGGCCTGGTCCGCCTCGCCCAAAAGCCGAGCCCTGGCCCATGCCCCAGGGCCCCAGGGCTTCCCCCGTGGCGGATGCTCCTTGGCTGGGCTGCGGTTGCGGCGCGCGCCCCCCCCCCCCCCCTCTGGCGCGGCGTGCCCGAGGTGCCTGCGCCCCAATTCACTGCGGCGGCGACGCATGGCGGGCTGCCTTGCACTCGGAGGAGTGGAAGCTGGCGAGCCAAGGGGGGGCCCGCCTGGGTTGCGCGGCCAGGCCCGCGCGTCGAAGGTATTGGAGGGGCGTGGGCTCGGCAGCCAGCTTCTCTCTGGCATTGCAAGCAGCAGAAACGGTTCTGGGGATCCGTCCAGGCGACCGCCTCGGCGACGCAGGGCCCACGGTTCGTCTTCGCTCTCTAGCTCCGCGCTCCTCGGCGCGGCGGGGGCGGCGCGGCCCCGCGACCGGCTGCTCCGGCGACAACGGCAGCAACGCCCCGCGCCCGGAAAGCGCTTCACCCGCCGGGCGCCCCAGGAGGACGCGGCCGCGGCCGCGGCCAGCGCGTGGAGAGCGGCCCTGAAAGGGCCCCCAATAGCGCGCCCCCTCTTCTGTCAGGCCCTCGATCGCTCTGGCGTGTACCCCCGCGCACCCCTGGAAGTGCGCGGCCGCCTCGCCCGTGCCCCAACCGTGGCTCCGCCCCGGAAGACGCGCGCAACCTTGGCCGCGGCCCCTTCCAGGGTCTGCCGCAGCGGAGGGTCGGTGCAACGGTGGGCCCGTGAATGCGGCAAGTCCTGCTCGTGTCGCTTATCCTTCCCGATTGGATCGCCGCGGCGCCCGCGGCCCAATCTCGCCCGCCCCGCGTCCGCCTACCTCCGCCGAGAAGTGGTTTGGGGGGCGAGGGGGCCGGTCACTCCGCGCCCGGATCACGCCGTCATAGAAGTCGTCGTCCACGGGGCAGCGTCGGGGCCTCTCCAATCCAGCTCTAGATGAGGCAGCCTCTCGTTCTCCAGACGAGCGCGCCATTCCTGGCACAATGGGCACCTTCCCAGGCGGCGGAGCAGTAGCCGGAGGAGGTGGCGCAGCCCCCAATCATTTCATGATGCAGATCAGCAGCGCGGCCCCCGCGAAGGCGCAATAAATGGCGATGGCCCCAGCGACCCAGTTTTGGGCGAATGCCCACCTTTCCCCGAGGATGAACTCCAAGGCCTCGCCCACGTAGCCCAGCACATC